TTACAAAGTAGTCTGGAGATTGTTACAGTTTCACATTCATTTTAGGGAACCATCGGTTGACAGTTGTCTATACACCTTCCATCTGACCAAAATGTTGTTTTTAGAGAGACTGATGATCTCAACTACATTGTTAACCACCTTAATCTCAAAAGGCAATGTTAACACAATGGTTTGAAACTAATGTCCAAGACCCTGATGCACGTAAGTTATCTTACGTTGAATTTCCTACCAAGTATGTTTGGAAAAATGACAAGAAACAATGGACCCGTAGAAACAAGGTAGATCTTTAGGTAGGGTTGCGTATATTCACCCTGCTGCCTGTGAATTATACTATTTGAAGTTGCTGCTTAACTACCAAAAAGGCAGCTTTAGTTTTGACCATTTAAAGACCGTCAAAGATGTTCTTGAACCCACATTCCAAGCTACATGCACCTCCCTTGATTTATTGGGAGATGATAAGGAATGGGATAGCGCTATGTTAGAAACGGTTGTCACTGAGTCGTCTTTTCAATTGAGGCAATTGTTTGGCACATTGGTACTCTTTTGTGATGTTGCTGATCCATTAGCTTTGTTTGAAGCGCATTGGAAGACAATGTGTGATGACATTTCCAAAAACATGATGAATGCTTTTGGCCTGCAAGATGTCTTTAAATACTAGGATAAACTTAGAAATTCTATTTTGTATAAGTTAGAAAAGTTGTTTACGGCTTCGAATAGTTCTCTATCGAAGCATCACCTGCCATAACCGAACAATCTAATGATGGATAAACTTAAGAATAGGGAGTTTGAGAGAAAAGTCAGGTTACGATGCTAACTCACTGAGCACTCACTCCTGAGCGGCTAGTTAAACAAGGAGCAAATATTTGTTTATTACAGCGTCATAGAGACGATTGACAACAACAGATTTGGCCTGTTTTTTGTGCATGGTCATGGTGGGACATGCAAGACTTTTTTGTGGACCACCATCATAGCTAGCATTAGATCCCAAAATTAAATTGTTTAAAGCGATTGTTGTTGGATTCCATTTGGCTAGGGGTTGGTGGTACAAGTCCTACCCATTCTGCCATAAAGCTGTAAAGAAAACGTCTAGATCGTTTCAGCGCAACGAACATGGTTTGATAAACAAATTACCCGAACCATGGTAATATTCTTTTGCACCTATTTTACATCTAATGGTTATATTAAGTTGCTGAGTCCTTTTGAATTTCTTATGATTATCAAATCCATACATGATAATGTTTTTATACCTATGATATTGTATGCAACAACAAGGTTGAACATGTGACGAAGCTACCGTTAGACCGTGCATGTGTTATTAAACTATCATTTCCTATGTTTATGAATTGTTAATTTTGCTATATCGAACAATGTCTTTCGGGTTATATTTATACTTGATGGCTCAATCTACAACCTCTTGAATTCACTCTCATATATGCACACGAACACACAGGTTTCTTCAGCCAACATATATTTTTGCATTCACTCTCATGCCTAAGTTGATCTTTGATTCATAATCTCAATGTATGCATACAAATAACTTTGGAGTAGTCTCCATCTCCATTATACTTTGACTGCTGCTTAACCTTTGGGAGTGTATTAGTGACATTATCGTAAATATTCCTGCTATAATGTCTTGGGATAGTGTACACCTATAGGCCCCGTTTGTTTGCCTTCACTAAGTTTCATTAGACTAGACTGGACTAACTCTTAGTCCAGTCCAGTGTTTGGTATCACGCGGGACTCACGTTAATGAGATTAAGTGGGATTCGCACGGACTAAAGCCTTCATTGTAGGTTCTTAGCGAAAGTCCTCGACAACCATGGGACTAGCTAAGACCTGCTTTGTTCCTCCGTTTCACTCGTCTGCATCACTTCGCGAACTCCTTCTGCTTCGCTTTGGATCGTCGACCCAACACGCCAACTCCCCCAACGGGTCTCAAATCGCCAGACTCCCGCTCGGAGAAGAGTCTAGGTCGGTCGGATCTGGAGCCTGGGAAGATGACAGTGGTTTGATCAGAACAGTTCCTTCCGAGCATCGCCATCTCACCGCTGATCACAAAAAGGGTCTCCCAGAAATCAAATGGCCACGCATCTCCGTCCCTCATCATCTCCACCCAAATTTCAAGTTTCCCCTCCTCTGTTCTTTCTACTGTACATCGTTCCCAATCAGCAAAAGGGAACCGGAATTAGATATTCCTGTCTCGGAGGCCGCGTGGCTGGTGTTTTTCTGTAAAAAGGGAGAGAAATGGTAGGTGTTGAGGAAGACGACAAGTAATTGGATAGATAGATGCAGATTATCAAAGTTTAGTTCCATTGAAAAATGGAAAAAGACATCAATATTGAATCTAAAATATGTTAGTCCGAGATCTAGTCCGGGACTGCACTAAACACTTAACTATTTTTATCCTGGTTAGTCCAAGCCAAGCCAGTCCAGCTTAGTCCTTGAAGTTAGTCCAGTCCGAGTTAGTCCAATGCAACAAACGCATAGTGTTTTCCCCACCTTTAAAAAAGAAACTTTTGAGTTTCCAAAACCACCATAATCATGATACGTGAATGGTACTTCATATATGGAAAGAATGCCTTTGTGACGTGCACCCTAGACTAGGGATGAGCAAATATCAATTGGTTATGGGTAACCGTAGTTATCCGTCCATTTAAATTTGACGGTTACGGTTATTAGTAACCGTTTAGATAAATAAATGGTTATGGGTATAACTGTTTACCCGTGAAATTTAAATGGGCAATTATAGGGTATTACCCGCGGTTATAAACAGGTACCTATTTAACTATTTATTTTAATATATGCAAAACTAAAAAAAAAAAAAATAGTTTCTAGCTAAGTTTAGTATCCCGAAACATATTTGGTTATAAAGGGTCATAATATATATATATATATATATATATATATATATATATATATATATATATATATATATGCCTCACTTGAGAGAAAAATATAGTTGATAGAACATGCCAATGTTTAATATATGTGATTGAATGTGCTAAAACATTAAAAGTATTCGACAGTTTTGTTTTGGAGTCTTTTGGATGGATTTGACCTTGATTTGTGTCTTGATTCGTCCATGGGAGAATTTAGGCATGTTTTGTGTCTTAATTTCAGCCACTTTCCCTTGTATTGGCCGAAATTTATAGGCCTTGTTACGTATTTTGTAAGCAATCTTCAAGTCTTGCTTGTTTTGTGAAGATTCTTTAGCTTTCTTTCCGGTTTTGAGAGATTTTGGACCCGTTGCCAATTTTAAGGAGGGATTTCCCCCTTTAGCCGAATTTTGGGGAAGTTTTACACTTCCTTTGCTTGATTTGTGCCACATGTCATTGATGACTTGTCCATTTGTGATGAGTCCTATGCCACGTGGAGCTTTGTGATGCATCATTTGTATGCAACGAGGTTTCCATGTCTACAAGTTGTCTAACACAAAGATATCCTCCTCTTGCACATGTTCAAAATCAATCTTATTGTGGAAGATAACATGAATCAGCATAATGTCCTCATGATAGGAAGGCACGCCGAAAAGATGCTTCGTGTTTCTTGCCACACTTTGGTGATGGAAGACGGATATGAGGATCCTTTCGTGGTGCCGCCAATTCTTAAAAATTTGGTTAGCGAGTAAAAAACATTTCAACTTTCTTTTGGAAATCAAAACAGTGACTTCGGGAAAATAGACTTCATCGTTCATGGATTGTTTCAAGACCAACCGCTCTCCAACCCAGCGATTTCCTTAGTTAAACCACAAACACCTGCTACCACCGCAGGAAAACAAATTATCAGTCAAGCGACCCCCGCCCCCATTGACGCCTTCCCAACGACTAGATCAACAAGCCAAATCAGTTGCACCTGCCAAGACTTCAAAGAGAGCATTATTCCCTGATCAAGAGAACAAATCTGGCAGGTAAAGTTTTCCTCACGATAAATGCTCTTAGGTGTCAATCTTAATAACTATGCTTGCTTCTCTTAGGTGTATGTTTAGCCAGTCATGAAAAATTGTCGGCCGATATTTTTGCACTGCTCTTTCGGACTCTTTTCTGTGACTATCACGTTTCTCTCTGACCTTATAATTTTTTCCTTGATTAACAGCAAAAAACCTTGCGACGAGCAAACAGGCACGACCAATTTTGCAAAAATTGCTGGAGAATTTCATAATCTGGTTGTCCCCATAATTGAACCCGCCGGCAAAGTGCCGATAGCCGCACTCAAGACAAAAACTCAAGCAAAAAAAAAACCAAAGATAGGTAAATTACAATTTGTTTTCGCACGCACACCTACATAACATCCGTGGTGGTAGCGTTTGTTAAATTATTATTTATGTTTTTTTCTATAGTGTGGAATATGTCCAATCTCAGAAAAAGTGAACAACCACAATCTCTGTGCTGCAAGGCATGCTATGTTTATTTTTTGTTTGAATATTTGTGCTTGAAAACTTAGCTGTTAGAACAAGAACGAAACACTTTTTGTGTTTTTTGTTAGTGCTGAAACAGGTGTCTAGCCTACAAGACATATTTTGCCGTATTAACTGCAAAAGCAAACTATGTGTCAACTGCATATTGCTTTTGTTTCTTCTATTACTTTTGGTTCAAGATAATTCAAAGTTTCGATGTTGAATTTTGTTAACCATACCAGTTACGGTTACCTCTGCAGAAAGAAGTTTCTCAAAATTAAAGTTGATCAAATCATGTCTTCGATCAACTATGTCACAAGAAAGATTAAATGAGTTAGCTATTTTGTCAATTGAAAAAGAATTGGTTGAAAAGTTAAATTATGTAAACTTAATTAATACATCTGAGTCTAAAAACACGAGATGTGTAATATTTAAGTAATGTTTGCATATCTTTCTTCTTTGGATATGAATTCTAATGATTTTTTTATGTAGAAATGAACTTTTTCATGCATTTAGCGAAACATTTTATTATACAAATGTACAATGAGTTGGGTGTAAAAGAACTTTACCCCCACTCGAAGGCTTGCATAGGCCCAATTTCTTAGGGCCGGCCCTGCCGAGAAGTATGATGAATTTACGAGTAAAATGTGCGCTCGTTTCTGCTTCGTTTTCTTTACGAGTACACCACCATGTTTCCTCCAAATATCCGCCGAAAGGCACTAGTTTCGGCTTAAAGGTAATGTTTTTGAAAATCTTGTTATTGAAGATTGGGCTCTGGTTGAATCTTAACCTTAATTAGGTTCTGTATATTGTTAATTTTAACTTTTGATTAGGATTTAATAATATGGCTTTCGTAAGACATTTCAATTGGATATTCCCATCATTTAATTGGATCTCATTCGCTGTAACAAGCTTGAATTATGTTGTGGTCTCTTAGAATGCATAGAATCTCCCCCCTTCCCCACAATTTGTTTTTATAACAGAGTATTAATTATCTTATGTATTTTGTTTTTAGATTTGTTTTGTTTTGATGCATGAGCATGGACTAATTGTATAGGGGAAGGTTTGATTAAACATAAGTGCTACTGGATCATATGCTTGTTATCTGCAGGCAGGGCAAACCATACAAGTTGGTGATTTAATGAAGCTTTCGTCAAAACAGTTTATTTCCACAATTTGGGATTCCCTAAATGTGCCGTTTACATATGGGGAAGGTAGCAAAATTCTGATTAGGCTTGGAGGAAACATGGTGGTGTTAGGTTGCAGGTAATTCTTTATCCCAGTTGGATACATCCTTCCATTGTTATGCATTTTGTTGAGCTTTTGGATTGGATTTGTATATAACCATTGTGGAGTTGTGGAATCGAATTTGTTGTCCTCTTTTGCGTTTGCTGTGTTTGTATTTTGTGAACTCTCAGCTTCTTTTGTTGGTAATTTTGGTAATCATAACTGTTTAGAACATTAGTCATAGTGAATAAGCATGTTCCTTAGTTTTCCCTCAATTTCTCAGTGACAATGCTTTGTTTTTCTCAGTCACACTGATTCATAGTCTCACAATCAGCACGATTATTTGTTTTCCATCAATTTTGATCAGTGACAATGCTTTGTTTTTTGAATTACTAGCTCATTTCACTTTTATGTTGTATTGCATTGAAACAGTTTGGAAATTTATGCTTCTGCAAGAAAAATATAAGACATTTTCCAATTGTTAGGCATTTACATTTCTTTTCTTCTGAACTTTAAACTCGTGTTAATTGCATTCCTATTGGAGCTGTTAGAAATGAGTTGGAAGATACTGTGCAGTTTCTGTCCCTTATAATATGTATATGTCAAAGTGGTCTGCTGCTCATTTTTTGGGATGTGGAGGGGGGAATAAAAGAACGTGATAAAAAGTGATTTTCTGGCTTAGATTAGAAAGATGGATTAGATCATTTTCCTTTCTGTATATAGAGAATTTAACACTAAGATATGAATGTTGAAACTTAAAATCAGAGTTGCACTAATGTTACAAACTTGTAGATTATATAGTTACAGTCTAATGAGTTCCTTCTGGCTCCAATTCAAATTAAAATTAAAGCTGGGCAAGGCGGAAATCCAGCCGCAGGAGAAAGAAAGAAGGAAAAGAAAGGAGGGAGATAGGTTTTGCAGTTGCAAAGCAGAGACTGAGGGATTGGCGGAGTCGGTTGGTTTAATATGAGGAGACGGTGATGGTGGGTTAGAGTACTTCAGACGACAATGGACCTGACACCGAGCTTGAACGCAACGACTCTGACCTCAACGATCCTCTCTGGAGCGCCTAATGCTTCCTCACTTCTGCTCACCTCATTCGCACGGTACCCTCATCTCTCTCTTCTCCCTCTCTCTCTCTCTAGAAAAAGTTGTATTTGGAATGTAATTTGCTTTGTTTTGTACTCTGGTGTGTGTAGATATGTGCAGAATAATGGGTTTTTGCTAAGTTTCTCAAGTGTTAATATTGCTGTGGAAATTCTTATTTTTGACAATTTTGAGCTTTGTTTTTTTTTTGGAAATTCCATAGTTTTTTGTTAATATGCTGTGGAAATTCTCATATGTTTTTTGTTGTGAACGTAGTTTTGCTTTAATATAATTTTGGGGTTTCTCCATTTTAATCCTTGATAAAGATTGAAATTCAATTAAAACCTTATGTTAGATTATGTATTCATTATAGTCCTTTGACTAAATTTCCATGTCAGCATAAATATTAAAATTTATATTTTCTTGTTTTGAAATATTTAATGCGTTTTTTGGGTTCCTATAATGCCCCTATTAAATATTTGATTTTAATTTGCTCCATATTTTTTTGGCATTGATTATTGTTTGACTTTCTAAAATGATAAACATAATTCAAAAATATTAGTGATACGTTACAAGAATTAACAAATACCTAATTCAAATTATTCATTATCACCATTCAAAGCACAGAGGAAATATAAATAGCCAAATCATATATTTTACATAATCGAATGCACTTAAACCATGTCCTAATGTGCTTAAATCATATAACCTAGTCGAATGCACATAAATCATAGTACCAAGTCAAATGCACCTAAACCATGGTACTTATATGAATGCACATAAACCATGGTACCTATATGAATGCACATAAACCATGGTACCTATATGAATGCACCTAAATCATGGTACCTATATGAATGCACCTAAATCATAGTACCTATATGAATGTACCTTAATCATTTAGGTACTATCAATTAGGTCTTATCCATTCGGTATTGTCGGTTAAGTACTATATAGTGTATGTCCGATTAATTTGGTACGATCAATTAAGTTGTGATTTCACATTCTATTTTCTCAATTTGTATTTTTTTTTCATTTATCTCTGGATTCACCTTCAATTTGGCATCTAAAAGCCCCTTTTTTCTCCTTTCTTCCGAATACAACAAGATTTTTGGTTTGTAAGTTTTATGGTTTTTTTTGTTTGATCATGGTTTCTGAGTTTTCTGGGTTCCTTGATTGGAATAACACATGGAGATTTATGTTATAACAAACATGTTAATTATGGATCTAGTTAATTAAGCATTCTTGAAAAATTAATTATATATTTGTTTCTCTAATTGGTTTTAAAGAGTAATAAGGGTAAATAGGGAAACTAACAACAACAACAACAACAACAAAGCCTTTTCCCACTAAGTGGGGTCGGCTATATGAATCCTAGAACGCCATTGCGCTCGGTTTTGTGTCATGTCCTCCGTTAGAACCAAGTACTCTAAGTCTTTTCTTAGAGTCTCTTCCAAAGTTTTCCTAGGTCTTCCTCTACCCCTTTGGCCCTGAACCTCTGTCCCGTAGTCACATCTTCGAACCGGAGCATCAGTAGGCCTTCTTTGCACATGTCCAAATCACCGGAACCGATTCTCTCTCATCTTTCCTTCAATTTCGGCCACTCCTACTTTACCTCGAATATCCTCATTTCCAATCTTATCATTTCTTGTGTGCCCACACATCCCACGAAGCATCCTCGTCTCCGCCACACCCATTTTGTGTACGTGTTGATGCTTCACCGCCCAAACATTCTGTGCCATACAACATCGCTGGCCTTATTGCCGTCCTATAAAAATTTTCCCTTGAGCTTCAGTGGCCTACGACGGTTACACAAACCCGCCGGATGCACTCTTACACTTCATCTATCCAACTTCTATTCTATGGTTGAGATCTCTCTAATTCTCCGTTCTCTTGCACGATATATCCTAGGTAGCGAAAACGGTCGCTTTTTGTGATCTTCGCTAGATTGCTCCGATCATTAGTGTGGATAAGTATATATAAATGGATATAGATAGGAAAGCAAACACAAGATGTACGTGGTTCACCCAGATTGGCTACGTCCACGGAATAGAGGAGTTCTCATTAATTGTGAAGGGTTTACACAAGTACATAGGTTCAAGCTTTCCTTTAGTGAGTACAGGGTGAATGATTTAGTACAAATGACATTAGGAAATATTGTGGGAGAATGATCTCGTAATCACGAAACTTCTAAGTATCGGAATGTGGTATCGTCTTGACTTGCCTTATCTGTCTCACAGGTAGATGTGGCATCTTCTCTGGAAGTACTCTTCCTCCATCCAGGGGTGGTATCTTTAACTGGTGGAGATGCACAAGGTAATGTATCAATTTCACTTGAAGCTTACTTGTAGTTTCAGGCTTGGGCAAGCGCGATACAAACCATGTAGTAGGAGTCCCTCAAGTTGCCGAGCTAGGGGATTTGCTGAAAGAGGTGACAGACAAGGTAAGCAATCAGAGCTCCGGCTGATTGTTCACATTCTCCCTATCTTGCAGGCAGCATGAAGGATAAAGAGAAGAAAAATGAGAAGAGATGATATGGGATACTTTTGCTTTTGAAGAAGTAACTTTCCACAGGCTTATTCTTGAACTGAGCTGGAGGGTTTTCTGGTTTCCTCCAGAGTATAAAGGCCGACTGAAGAATTTGAGGGTCAAAACAAGTCCATCAAATCTAGAGTACGTTCGACCCTACTGATATGGGATACTTTTGCTTTGACAGAGTAATGGATGTATCGGCACGTGTGCTGTTACGCTTGTCTCCACATGCTTCCTTGTATCCTTCTCACTTGCCCTATCTGTTCCTCAGGCAGATGCGGTATCTTCCCTGGAAGCATAAGATGTTGAAGATGAGTACTCGAGAGTAATGCCAGGTAAGTAAGTTCCAGGCAGTCAGTTCCTGGCTGGAAGCTTGATTCCAAGTGCTGACTGATTGCTCTCTTTCTCCTTGTCTTGCAGGTAAGAACAAGGCCAAAGGAAAAGACAGGGAAAAAGCATGATATGGGATACTCTTGCTTTTAACCCTGATGATATGAGATATTCTTGCTCTAGTATAACTTGTTTGCAGAGGTATTATCGGGGGGAAAGAAAGCTGAATATTTCGAAAGGCTTCGTTGAGAGTGCCCTCTCATATATGAGGAAGGGTTGAGCATTTTTGCAGGTCTGTCTGTCCATTGGGGATGGAGGTTGACATATATATGAGTCTCCTTAACAACAAGTAGTAATGCTATTCCTTTACCCTGTCAGAGCACTTTGAAAAAGTGGTCTGTGGTATATGGAAAGCTGATGTTGCGTGTGAAGATTACAGACAGCTTTATCCAAGGAGATCCGGCTCTTGTAGTTGGGAAAGTGTTGCCTCTTCGGTTTTCGAACAAGCAATCCTATCAGGGATCTGGCTCTCGAGATTCGGAGAACGATGTCTCTTCGATTTTTGAGAAAGCAATCCTGCTGGGGGTCTGGCTCTCGAGATTCGGAGAGCGGTGTCTCTTCGATTTTTGAGAAGGTAATCATGTTGGGAGTCTGGCTCTCGAGATTCGGAGGGCGGTGCCTCTTCGATTTTGGAGCAAGCAATCTTGTTGGGAGTGTTTTTCTCGAATGTGAGTAAAGGTTGGGCATGTTTGCTAGTCTACCTTGCCACGAAGCACAGAGGTTGACACACAGGGACTTTCCAATTATCCAGCAATGGTACTGTTCCTTTACCCTCTCTTCGATTTTTGATAAAGTAGTCATGTTGGGAGTCTGGCTCTCGAGATTCGGAGGACGGTGCCTCTTCGATTTTGGAGCAAGCAATCTTTGTTGGGAGTGTTTTCTCGAAATGTGAGTAAAGGTTGGGCATGTTTGCTAGTCTACCTTGCCACGAAGCACAGAGGTTGACACACAGGGACTTTCCAATTATCCAGCAGTGGTACTGTTCCTTTACCCTTGTGGGTAATAATATGGGGTAGCTAGACCTTCAAAATTTATGTGTCTAAACTTTGTTAGTGCTGTTTCTTTGCTATTCTTTTACCCGTTCTTGGTCAGAGCGATGTAGTGGGAAGCTGCAAGCTTCACGTGCTCAACTTTGGCAGAGAACTTTGGCAAAGTTATCTGTGGTACCATGAGCTACTATTGCGTGTGGGAAGTGGGTGATTGAACAGTAAGACTTCATGTGCTTTCTACTTCACCAGAAGTCTTCGACAGAATGCCCATAATTTCCGCAAAGCTGAGTGTGCGTGTGACAGGTGCTGACAAGGCTGGAAAAGTAGGTGCCTCTTCGATTTCTGAGATCGGCCCTCGTGGTCTCTGAGCAGCCCAGCTTTTGAGAAAGCAAGCGCCTCTTCGATTTCTGAGATCGGCCTTCGTGGTCTTTGAGCAGCCCAACTTTTGAGAAAGCAAACGCCTCTTCGATTTCTGAGATCGACCCTCGTGGTCTCTGAGCAGCCCAGCTTTTGAGAAAGCAAACGCCTCTTCGATTTCTGAGCAGGCGCCTCTTCGATTTCTGAAGCTCCGTCGAGTGCAGATTTTTATAGGGGCTGGCATTAAGTTCCAAAGCACACTTGAATCTCCCCCCAGTAGAAGCTCCATTCTTGCACTTCTAAGATCTTGATTTGTTCCGACCTCTTCTCTCTTCAACACCTTTGAAAATGTCTGGCCCCTCCGACCGTCGTTTTGACTTGAACCTTGTTGAAGAGGCAGCCCCGCCTTCTCCAGACAACATATGGCGCCCATCCTTCGTCTCCCCTACTGGTCCTCTTACCGTTGGGGATTCCGTGATGAAGAATGATATGACCGCTGCGGTGGTGGCCAGGAACCTTCTCACTCCCAAAGATAACAGACTACTTTCCAAACGGTCTGATGAGTTAGCTGTTAAGGATTCTCTGGCTCTCAGTGTTCAGTGTGCAGGTTCTGTGTCTAATATGGCCCAACGCCTATTTGCTCGAACCCGCCAAGTTGAATCATTGGCGGCTGAAGTGATGAGTCTCAAACAGGAGATTAGAGGGCTCAAGCATGAGAATAAACAGTTGCACCGGCTCGCACATGACTATGCTGCTACAAACATGAAGAGGAAGCTTGACCAGATGAAGGAATCTGATGGTCAGGTTTTACTTGATCATCAGAGATTTGTGGGTTTGTTCCAAAGGCATTTATTGCCTTCGTCTTCTGGGGCTGTACCGCGTAATGAAGCTCCAAATGATCAACCTCTGATGCCTCCTCCTTCTAGGGTTCTGTCCAGTACTGAGGCTCCGAATGATCCCCCTCCGGTGCCTTCTCTTTCTGGGGCTCTACCGACTGCTGCGAGACTTCTCCTAAGCAACCTTTGTGAAGGCTCCTCTTGTTTGTTTATTTTGACTCATGTATATGTACATATTTGTAGCTTATCGGGGATATCAATAAATAAGCTTTCCTTCATTTCAACGTATTGTGTTAAATACACCAAAGCCTTCTTCGCTAAGTTCTTTGAATTTTCTTTTGTTGGAAGCTTTGTGAGTGGAGCATGTAGGTTGAGGTAGTGTTCCCTTAATTTCCTGAGTGAGGAAAACTTCTCGGTTGGAGACTTGGAAAATCCAAGTCACTGAGTGGGATCGGCTATATGAATCTTAGAACGCCATTGTGCTCGGTCCTGTGTCATGTCCTTCGTTAGATCCAAGTACTCTAAGTCTTTTCTTAGAGTCTCTTCCAAAGTTTTCCTAGGTCTTCCTCTACCCCTTCGGCCCTGAACCTCTGTCCCATAGTCGCATCTTCTAATCGGAGCGTCAGTAGGCCTTCTTTGCACATGTCCAAACCACCGTAACCGATTTTCTCTCATCTTTCCTTCAATTTCGGCTACTCCTACTTTACCCCGGATATCCTCATTCCTAATCTTATCCTTTCTCGTGTGCCCACACATCCAACGAAGCATCCTCATCTCCGCTACACCCATTTTGTGTACGTGTTGATGCTTCACCGCCCAACATTCTGTGCCATACAGCATCGCCGGCCTTATTGCCGTCCTATAAAATTTTCCCTTGAGCTTCAGTGGCATACGGCGGTCACACAACACGCCGGATGCACTCTTCCACTTCATCCATCCAGCTTGTATTCTATGGTTGAGATCTCCATCTAATTCTCCGTTCTTTTGCAAGATAGATCCTAGGTAACGAAAACGGTCGCTCTTTGGTATTTCTTGATCTCCGATCCTCACCCCTAACTCGTTTTGGCCTCCATTTGCACTGAACTTGCACTCCATATATTCTGTCTTTGATCGGCTTAGGCGAAGACCTTTAGATTCCAACACTTCTCTCCAAAGGTTAAGCTTTGCATTTACCCCTTCCTGAGTTTCATCTATCAACACTATATCGTCTGCGAAAAGCATACACCAAGGAATATCATCTTGAATATGTCCTGTTAACTCATCCATTACCAACGCAAAAAGGTAAGGACTTAAGGATGAGCCTTGATGTAATCCTACAGTTATGGGAAAGCTTTCGGTTTGTCCTTCATGAGTTCTTACGGCAGTCTTTGCTCCTTCATACATATCCTTTATAGCTTGGATATATGCTACTCGTACTCCTTTCTTCTCTAAAATCCTCCAAAGAATGTCTCTTGGGACCCTATCATACGCTTTTCCAAATCTATAAAGACCATGTGTAAATCCTTTTTCCCATCTCTATATCTTTCCATCAATCTTCGTAAGAGATAGATTGCCTCCATGGTTGAGCGCCCTGGCATGAACCCGAATTGGTTGTCCGAAACCCGTGTCTCTTGCCTCAATCTATGCTCAATGACTCTCTCCCAGAGCTTCATTGTATGACTCATTAGCTTAATACCCCTATAGTTCATGCAATTTTGTACGTCGCCCTTATTCTTGTAGATAGGCACCAAAGTGCTCGTTCGCCACTCATTTGGCATCTTCTTCGTTTTCAAAAATCCTATTGAAAAGGTCAGTGAGCCATGTTATACCTGTCTCTCCCCAAAACTTTCCACACTTCGATTGGTATATCGTCTGGGCCTATTGCTTTTCTATGCTTCATCTTCTTCAAAGCTACAACCACTTCTTCCTTCCGGATTCGACGATAAAAAGAGTAGTTTCTACACTCTTCTGAGTTACTCAACTCCCCTAAAGAAGCACTCCTTTCATGTCCTTCATTGAAAAGATTATGAAAAAATAACCTCTCCATCTGTCTTTAACCGCGTTCTCTGTAGCAAGAACTTTTCCATCCTCATCCTTGATGCACCTCACTTGGTTTAGGTCCCTTGTCTTCTTTTCCCTTGCTCTAGCTAGTTTATAGATATCCAACTCTCCTTCTTTGGTATCTAGTCGTTTATACATATCGTCGTAAGCCGCTAACTTAGCTTCTCTCACAGCTTTCTTCGCCTCTTGCTTCGCTTTTCTATACCTTTCACCATTTTTCATCAGGTCCTATCCTTGTATAAGGCTTTACAACATTCCTTCTTAGCCTTCACCTTTGTTTGTACCTCCTCATTCCACCACCAAGATTCCTTTTGGTGTGGGGCAAAGCCCTTGGACTCTCCTAATACCTCTTTTGCTACTTTTCGGATACAACTAGCCATGGAATCCCACATTTGGCTAGCTTCCCCCTCTCTATCCCACACACACTGGGTGATTACTTTCTCTTTGAAAATGGCTTGTTTTTCTTCTTTTAGATTCCACCATCTAGTCCTTGGGCACTTCCAAGTCTTGTTCTTTTGTCTCACTCTTTTGATATGTACATCCATCACCAACAAGCGATGTTGATTAGCCACGCTCTCTCCTGGTATAACTTTGCAATCCTTACAAGTTATACGATCCCCTTTCCTCATTAGAAGAAAATCTATTTGTGTTTTTGACGACCCACTCTTGTAGGTGATCACATGTTCTTCTCTCTTCTTAAAGAAGGTGTTGGCTAAGAAAGAGATCATATGCCATTGCAAAATCCAAGATAGCTTCCCCATCCTCGTTTCTCTCCCCAAAACCATGGCCACCATGAAAACCTCCATAGTTGCCTGTCTCCCTGCCCACGTGTCCATTTAAATCTCCTCCTATAAATAACTTCTCCGTCTGAGCAATTCCTTGCACCAAGTCTCCAAGATCTTCCCAAAATTTCTCCTTCGAACTCGTATCCAACCCTACTTGAGGTGCGTACGCACTAATCACATTGATAAGTTCTTGTCCTATTACAATCTTGATTGCCATGATTCTATCTCCTACCCTCTTGACATCTACAACATCTTGTACCAAGGTCTTGTCCACGATGATGCCAACACCGTTTTCTCGTTCTATTTGTGCCCGAATACCAAAGTTTAAACCCTGAGTTTTCTAGATCCTTTGCCTTACTACCAACCCACTTAGTTTCTTGTAGGCACATAATATTTATCCTTCTCCTCACCATAACTTCCACTACTTCCATAGATTTTCCCGTTAAGGTTCCTATATTCCACGTTCCTAAACGCATTTTGCTCTCTTGAACTCTACCCTTCTGTCCTAGCTTCTTTCACCCTCCCCCGTCTAATAGGATCAAAGTACTTCTTTTGTGTGTCCCGGGTAAAGTTGATAGGAGCATATGCTCCCAAACAACTTTGAGTGGAGTCGTTCGAAAAGAAGTTTCTATGGCCCCCTTGCTCATTTAACACTGCATCCGGGTGCCGATGGAGATACAGCGACCCTTGCTCACTTATCACTGTGCTCGGGCCGCACAGCGCGCCACTTACGGGTGACGCCCTAGCTTTAGCGCTATTTTGTTCTGGATTCATTTTCATAAGGATTCGACGTGATCATGGAGTGCCGGCTGTCGACTACCTGACGCCCTCCCCCTCCTCCTTTATCCGGGCTTGGGACCGGCCATGTAAGACATAGGCGGAGTTATAGGGAAACTAAAAATGCAATAAATTTATTAAAAAATGATTAAATGTGACATGGAATACTATAATCTGACATGGAGGACTATTTTTAGTTTTTAATCTTACATACGGTATTATTGAAAAAACAATCTTATTTAGGGATTAAAATGAAGTTTTCTATAACATTTTCTGGTGAGAACAGTTCCTTAATATTTCTTCAACTTGGTTTGTTGATTTCTTTTCGTAAGTTGCTTGTGATACTGAAGTCTTTATGTATGATATATTAATCTGCTTCATTGATTTTACAATATATTAGTTGTTCTGCAATTACGAAAGTAAACTTAAAGAACTTTCGGATTTGTCCAGAAACACTATGGTTTACTGATGAGCTCTTGCACGGTATATCACAACAATGGAATTAAATTCTTGAAACACTTGGTTAATATTAATCTTTCCATAATAATTGTCCTTAATATAATTCTTAAATTTAGTTCCTTTGCTTTCAGTGAGGGATGGATTGTCTTTGCTTTTGTTTGTTGAGGTTATGTTCTTTGAAAATGTAATCATATTCTTATGTATGTTTGGAATTTTTATTTTGAAATTCTCAATTTGGCAGCGTAGCATAATCTTGAACTCCTTTTGGAAGGAAGTCAAAACCAACTACTGTTTACAAGCATTTCCCAATTGCTTGAAATTGCTTTGAATCAGGTATCTTTCTTTTCTTTCTTTTTCTTTCACTCTGAATTTGGTAGTTCTTGTTAACCTAATGTATGATGAAATGCATATTATCAATGTAGTATTGATGATCAAGACCATGACATTACAAGATTAATTCTAAACTTGGAGGTTGTATATCAGTGTTTGTACTTGATCTTTTGGGCCGTACTTGGTTAATTCCTCAGGGAGCTTTTAATTTATGTGAATTCTTACAAAATTTTACAAAAATTCTTTGTTAGTATTGTGATATATTAACATAATGGTATGATCATTCATATGATGTAGGTTTATGAAGACTTGTTGATAGGTTGGGTTTAGGTTCCATATTATTGTCCGCTTGGCTGCCATTAAATGTATTGAAGCTAATCATTTTCTTGTTTATACAACTGAATTTTCTTCCATTTGGCCTTAAATAATTTGACCATTGAATAGATCAATGATTTATCTAAGTTGTTTTGCTTTTGGTAAATGGAAATGCTCAAAATTTTAACTACTGATGTCTCAGGTTCTTCCATGGATGTCTCTGACCTTTCAATTTCCTAGCATCACTTCGTATCTCAACCTACGTTCTGCTAAGTTTTCAGCAAATGGGTCTCGTTGGAAGCTGTTCTAGTTCAATAACTTGGTGATTTGTGTTGGGGAAGATATTTTCTTTTTTTTCAATCTTTGGTGATTTGTGTGGTTTGATAGTATTTGTTCTTTTTGTTTTTTTTTTTTAGTATAGTGATTTGGGAAACCTCTTCTTTTCAAATTAATATATTTTGCTTTGTTTCATCTTGCAGGTGCAGCTGAGACCTTATAACCCATATGTTATTTATGAGTCTCTAGTGTGGACTAAGAGTGCGGGCATAGGTGGCGGTTTCAGAACTGTTGGGATGGTTAATAACGTTCACTTGGATTGTCTGCCCTCTAATTTTGGTGCCCTCCCAGTGCCCTTCTGTTTTTGTGGTCATGGTTAAGCCACATCAACATTTTATATTACTATTTCTTTTTATTTTATTATTTTTATAAAAAAATAATATAAAATATTGACGTGGCTTAACCGTGACCACACAAAACAGGAGGGCACGGGGAGGGCACCGAAATGGGAGGGCAGACAATCCAAGTCCTCACTTTAATCTGGATGATTTTCATGGTAACAAGAAATCTGGGGGTGTTCATGATGGCACTACCATAGTCCTGTGAAATAAAATAAAAGGAGATAAATAAAGATGGAAGATTGTACTTATGAAATGTTTGTTACTTTGTGAATTGTTTGTTACCTTTGTGTAAAACAATTAAAACAATTTTTGTACATATTATGAAAGTTTATGACTAAATATGATTCGTTACGAAAGTATGAAAACTAAAAACATGGGAGTTTTAAATAAAAGTCCACGGTACTGTTTATTTTAACGGAAAACTATATTTTTACACTCAAAAGTCAAACTTGGTACTATTTACTTTACCCTTTATTTTGTCCTTATCATTAAAACTCAAAGTTTTCAAGTCATTTTTATTAGTTTTTCTTAAAAACATAAGCACTAGCTGAAACAGTAAACCAAGTTAGCATCTGTAAATGGAACTAAATGACTGATTTTATCGAACATATCATGTCAAAGATATCACGTTGACGGTCACGTACCAATGGTGGGATATTTTATATACTTATTAATGAATTATTACACATTTTTAAATACCCAAAAAACTGTTCACGAGTATTTTTACGATTGTAAAATGTCAAATGACTATATAATCATTGTCAAAGAGTAGATGATGTGATCATGAGCGTTTGCAATTTTTTTTTCATATTTTTCACACTTATAAATTAATTATTATGAATTTTATAGTGTAATTTGATTTTTCCTACAAAATACCAAAGTGCATTAAAAACTTCATAATAATTAATGTAGAAATGAGAAAAATGTGAAAGTAAGCCAACATTCAAGACGCATACTCTGCTTTGGCAATTGTTAGATCGACATTTGTATTTTGGAGGGTTAAACTTAAACCCTCTAAACCCTTGTGAATAGTATTTTTTTAGTGACTTAAAAAAATAGTAATAATTATTTTACAAGTGTAAAAAAATATAGAATCGTTCATAGTGATAAGGCCTACAATTTTCGTGAAGAAGTCACCTTCGACAAACGACATCATAATCCATAAACCTTGGTGACAAACTCTAACCATTGATTGTCATTTACGTTTATGCTTTAGTGTTTCATTACCGAAAATCGTTTTTCAAAGTTTTTTTCATGAAAACACGATCTTGTAATGGATTAAAAAAGATGAACGATTTGGATTGTTGACATCACGTTCCAATTTTTAAGGTTAGTGCAAATATTGCTCGATGTTTATAAACCTTTTAGACATTATAGAACATCAAGCAACATTTGAACTAACCTAAAAAATCATAACGTGATGTTAACCATCCAAACCGTTCATCTTTTTCAACCCCACTACAAGATCATGTTTTCAAAAAATAAATCCCAAAAAACGATTTCCGGTGATGAAAAATTAAAGTGTAAATGTAAACACAATCGAACAGTTAGGGTTTGTCACTAAGATTTACGAATTATGATGTCGTGTCCCGGAGTTGACTCCTTAACGAAAGTTGTAGGCCTTGTCATTACGATCGTGTGTATATATATATATACATTTTTCACACTTGAAATGAATTATTACTAATTTTTTAATATTTTCAAGTCATAGAAAAAAACACTATTCATGAGGATTCGGAGGGTTTCAAAAATAAAAATGATGATCTAACCATCGTCAAAGTATAGAGTATGCGATCCCAAATGTTGTCATAATTTTTTTTATATTTTTCTCATTTAAGATAAATTATTATTAATTATTATTAAATAATCACTCTCCTAAAAACCCTGTTCATAAGAGTTTGGAAGATTGTAAAAATTCAAATGATGTGTGACCATTTTCAAAGCATAGAGAATGTGATCACAAACATTTACATATTTTTTCACATTTTTTGCATTTGTAATTTGTAGGAAAAATTAAATTACAATAAAAAAAATTATAATAATTAATTTACAAGTGTGAAAAATGTGAAAAAAAATATGCAATCACGATCGCATCCTCGATGGTTTGACAATGGTCATACCATCATTTGAATAGTTAAAACCATACAAACCTCTTTGGTAAAGTGTGAAAATTAGTAAAAATTCATATTAATTAATTTACAAATGCAAAAAATATTCCGCTAATTGGTTCGTGACAGGGAATGCAATATCTTTGACATGGTATGTCCAATGTACCAAATGGGTGTCAAGAACATGGTAATTGACTGAGGAGATGTAATCAAGTAACAAATCATGAAACTTGTATTAGTGACATGTGGCACCTTAGGATTCGTTGGATACAACATTTCTCAAGATTTTTTGGCATCAATACAGCGATAAAACTATATGTAGACTTTTTTGCACTGCCACATGTCCAAATTCGAATTTAGCGACGGTGGAAATCAAATTTTGCAAGGAAGATTTCCCTCAAATATTTCGACTGTAAGTATGTAGCAGGAAAGACAATTTTTCATAAACCCACATAAATCCTATATATTGAACACTGAGTTAAAACACTTATTAAATAAACAATGAGCATAAGGAAAACTATAATTCTGGTAAAAAATAATGGCCAAGAAAGAACATTAGCATAAATGAACAAAAAATTATACATCTTTATAGTCACAAAACTAAGTTTCAAGTAAAAACTTCTCAAAAACTTATTAACTATCACAAGGCTTGTGTAATCTGCAAAATAGAAAGTCCAATTCATATAAGCAAGTTAAGCAATGGCGTATGAAAATCATACTTATACAATTGGACATAAATGAAATATGTAAAACCCAAACACGGAGAGCATATCTTACCATATGTTTATTGGTGCAAGTCCGGCTACTAACTACAACTTCTTCGATATTTAATAAGCATTACATTACATCCCCTGTACTTGGCTCTATAAGGCACAAACAAATAAATATACAAAAAGACATTGAGAGGAGCACCCATAAACCAACAATAGAAAGAGAGAGTTCATGTATAAGGCATGCTAACTGAACAACTATCACAAACACTTGACAACAATATTAGATCCTAATTAATCCTTACCAGTTTATTCATGTCATAGAGGGATTGAGAGTGTAATCTTTGCTTGGTGGTAATAAAAAGTGAAGGTTGATAGAAATAAGGACTGAATTTAGTTTTCTTTTTGAGTAATCCATCTTCTACCTTCAGACATGCCACAAATTTTCATTTCTTCATCAACATACCTTGAAAATAGCAAATTCTACATTCCAATCCAATCCAAGCTTTTATGCTAAGTAAAACCTAAACTATGAAACTACACTCTTATAGTTCAAATTGCAATACACATCTATTCTCCAAAACATGTACTTTAGAGAAGAACTATGAACATAAATATCAACCAAAACAATTTATAGTTCTAATTTATGAAGATACAAAAAACAAAGGCAATACTTGCTCAAACCCCCTATCGCTTGGGAGTGGGAACAAGATCAGCTCTAAAGTTGGAAACCCCCAGCTAGAGAGACCAGTTACAATAACCACTAAATAGACTTAGCCAACGAAATCCAAAACATTACCTACATCAAACAAGGTAAGCTATTCCCTCTATTGCCTGGACAAATAAAACCCTTACAAAAAAGTTCTATACTTTAACAAGGTATAATTCATTTACTTATTCATCTTCCTTTCGAATCAAACATGACCAGTGACAGGTATTAAAGAAGACAGTATTATTAACTTCCAAGACCTAATCTTTTTTATCTTATTTTTCGGCCATGATCTAATCCTTTTTATCAGTATGAGAAACTAACATCTCTATTCTGAAACATTTATAACGTGCAAACAAGTAGGAAACCCTTGTTTTCTTGCAATACACAAGCAGCACTCACAATGGCAGAACAATGCAGTGTGCAAATGTGCAAAAGGCAGCCTTCGAATATCATCAAATCCACCAACTCAAGGACATTGGCAGTCCAAAACGATATAGGTGGTTCTGCTTGCAGAACTTCATCATTCCTACTCTTTGGCACCTAGCATAACTTTAAGGTCAACAAATTAAGAGCAAGTAAATCAGAATCACAAATCTTTGCTATCCGTGGTTTATGGCCTAGTAATTTTTGTATGGGTTCAACACCAGGGAATTCGTCTACATCCACAAATGCAAGTAATGGCTGGCCATAGTTGTATCAAATGTACATTTTTATAGACTCTGATATTCCAAGGAAAAGAAAGACTTACATTACAAGAGAAAGAAAGCAAGAAGATGTGTGGTGGTTTGTGAAAGAGGGCAAACTAATGACAAGGGAAAGAAAGCAAGAAGATGTGTGGTGGTTTGTGAAAAGAAAGACTGACATTAAGTATTTGCTATGGGGGGAAAACTAATAACGAGATTTTTAAATAGACCAGTGCCCTCTATCTCCTCTGAGGATTCTGCCCTTCTTTTGTAATGTCATCCAAACTATGAGTCCTCCATCATTTTAATTGATAACTTTGTATTTGTTGATGAGGATGAGTATAATTAATGACTCCGTTCTAACATGAGCTTAGGGTTGAGATTTATAGATTTTTTTTCTTTCTTTATAGTTAATGGTCCTCTTGGCTAGCTGTGTGGGTTCTATGGCGACAGGGTTTCGATTTGTGATGGTAGTTATGATCTAGGGTTATGGTTTAATTTAGAATTTAGGTTGTTTTGGGCTATGTGGGCTCGAATTCCAGTTATACTATATTTTGGTGTTGTGAGTTCTTAGTTGTTTGTTCGGATTTTGTCCGCTTTAGTTTAGCTCTTAAGAGTTGTTGTTTTTACAGTGCTAAAGCCTATGTCTTGGAATATCTTTCATTAAGATTGAAGTTTGTTAATGAATATCGTTGTTTCTCAAATTTATTTTTTATTTTTTAAAGGAAATTTGTAGACTGAGGATTGAAGGTTTTGGCGTTTTGGTCGGTGATGGGTTTTGGGTTTTGTAGTTTGGTAAGAGCAGCAAGAGTGGGTGCAAGTGGCTTGATGGTAGAGGGATGACGCGCAATCTTAAAAGTCCCTATACAGGTTCACTTTCAAAACAGGCTTAAAACAATGAAACTTTAACGAAAAGCACCTGGTACTGTTCACATTAATGAAAAACTACATTTTTACACTAAAAAGTCAATCTGGTACTGTTCACTTTATCCTTTATTTTGTTCTTATCATTAAAACTCAAAGTTTTCAAGCCCTTTTCATTAGTTTTCCTTTAAAACAAAAGGCCAAAAATCTGTCATGATTTTCGTGGTGACAGTGTATTTTTAAATTAATCTCATGATAAAAAAAAGGTT